TTTAAGTTAAGGCTTCTGTTCTGATTTATGATTAGATTGTCCAAGAAGCCCTGGACAAAGCCAGAGAAGGCCGCACCTGCATAGTGATCGCTCACCGCCTGTCCACCATCCAGAACGCAGACTTAATAGTGGTGTTTCAGAATGGCAAAGTCAAGGAGCATGGCACACATCAACAGCTGCTGGCACAGAAAGGCATCTATTTTTCCATGGTCAGTGTCCAGGCTGGGACACAGAACTTATGAACTCTTGCTATAGTGTATCTTAAAAATAAATTCAAATCATCCTATAAGTTTTTCTGATTTGTGAAAGAAGTTTCTAGTTTGCCATCATAAAATATAGGTATGTCTTATTCCAGATCAATTCAGCACTTCCAATTTGGTGTTTGATATGACACTTGAAATTTAGGAGTCACAAGTCACACCTGTCCTGAAGTATGAAAACAGCAACCTAACAATTCCTGAGTTACCAGAAACATGCAGAGAAAGAAGGGGAAAATTCAGGTACATAAAGCTGTAGAATTAACAGATGTCACAGGCTTAGGAAAAACGCTTATCATCCTGAATAACTGGGTAGATGACAGGGTGGTTTGGGAACAATTTCAGAAGAACAAAGGAAAAATACATCTTTCAATAGCCCTTCCCCTCTCCTTTGGTAAGTTTCCAAATTATTCTACTGGGGAATGAGGTGTTTCTAAAAGAATACATTCCCGGCTTATCACCCAAGTCCAAGAGAAAATGAAATTACCCTCAACAAGCTAACTTTGCAGGCACACATTTGTTCTATGAAGCAAGAAAGAGGCATAATACTGAGTATTTTAAAAAATGTTTAAAACTCATTATTCCTTAGTGTAATTGGAAACATTAGAAAAATCAATAATGCTGAGTTTCTATAGCAACTGAATTACTTTTTACCAATATTTCTAATTTTCCCAGAATATTAATCCACTTCTCCCATAAGAAGGAAATACACTTAGAGAACAAAAGAAATTTTCTAGACAACTCTTAGAAGCTACTAATCACACTGAAAGTTTTCCGTTTGTTTTCTCCATAATTTACTCCAGCACTATCAATACTCTTGGTTGTAACAAGTTGTTTAGGTCAGTAAATGATCCAAACTAAGTTCTTCTATCTGTAATAAAAAAGATCATATCAAATAATTTTTCAAATGTGACCATGTGTACCAGTGGATTAAATTTCAGATCAACCCACAGAAGAGTGGAACAAGGGGTAATTACCTCAGTGACTCAAAGTGAGCAGAATTCTACCTACTCTTCTTGTGTATTTCCAAACTTGCCTGCTAAGGATCATGCAGCATCTGCCCCTAGAAATTCTAACTCAGTAGGTCTGGGTTGAGGACTGGTTGAGGCTCTATAAAAAACATTCCTGGTGATTATTAACTTCAGACAGGTTAGGGAAACATATTAAAGAATGAGTAAGAAGAGATTCTCTGCAAGAGGTATCAGTTTCTAAAATACCAAAGTCCTTAGACATTATTTAAAAACAACCAACCAAATGATTCTAAATGCCATGGCAATCTAGTCTATAAAATTGTACTAGTTGAGGGAAAAAGGTACATAGTTCAGATTTCACCTTCCTATTCTATAGCAACTGCTAAGGATGTATCAAGTGCCATGGAAGCCAACTCATTATTTTCACAAAGAAATAATGATAATAAATCAGTCTTATCAAATTTAGAATATGTGAACAGGTTAAAAAAAGATGCATAACCAGTACACCAAATTAACTGTAATCTTTCATGGTATATTGCTATAACAATGGCCCTCGATAAATCATGCCCTCTATTATGCCCATTTACATTTACAAAATGACTGTGCTGTTCTTATCAAGAGATGAGACTTTTCCCCGACTCCTTAAATCTAAACTGCCCTTGTAACTTGTTTTAACCAATAAAATTCAAAAGTGACATCATGTGACTTTAGAGCCTAAGCCTCAAGAGGCCTTGCAATCTCCACCTTTCCCTTTTGGAACACTCCAAGTTTGGAAGTCCAGCTAGAATGCTGAATGACCAGAGACCACAGGGAGAGACAGCGTCCCAGCCACCAAGGCCCCAGGCAGTGGGCGAGATCACGTCAGACTTTCCAGCCTCAGTCAAACAGCCTGGTGATCTGCATAAACAAAGACCAGCAGAAGAGCCACCCAGCTGTGCACAGTCAACCGAAACAATCATGAGAACTAATAAATTGTTTTATGGCTGTAAGTTTTGAGTGGTTTTGACAAAATATACAACTAAGATCAGAAATTATAAGCTCAAACAGGAAAGAATCACTTATTCAAACACAAAACAAGAAACTAGCATTTTGAGAGTTTTATTTTCTGGGAGTAGAAAGTATAAAATTTAACAGTGGAAAGAAAACCAAGCTGTAAAATCCTGAGAATTTCATTCAACATTTAATCCTTTTAAAGTCACTAACTCTCACAACTAATTTGAAATATAAGTACTTTAACTTTTTATTCACAAAACTAATTATGCTATAATAAATTTTGTTAGGGTTTTGTGTGTCAGAAGGTGTAAACCTCCCTTCCACAACTTTATTCTACTATTCAGCAGAGACCCTCTATTAAAAAAAAATCATTCAGTTGTAGTGGTCTTTCCCATCAAACATATAGGCTTATATGCTTGTAGTGAGTGTGGAAGTCTTTGATTTTAGGAAAATTACCGTCTAATCATATATTTCATATCCTTTGGCAACTAGGAAAGCTTAAAGTGCTTGAAAGACAAATTCTACAATGATGTTCAAAGGCAGGATTTATAACCTATTCAGGGACCAACAAAAATAATCCAGAACGCAGACTTAATAGTGGTGTTTCAGAATGGCAAAGTCAAGGAGCATGGCACACATCAACAGCTGCTGGCACAGAAAGGCATCTATTTTTCCATGGTCAGTGTCCAGGCTGGGACACAGAACTTATGAACTCTTGCTATAGTGTATCTTAAAAATAAATTCAAATCATCATATAAGTTTTTCTGATTTGTGAAAGAAGTTTCTAGTTTGCCATCATAAAATATAGGTATGTCTTATTCCAGATCAATTCAGCACTTCCAATTTGGTGTTTGATATGACACTTGAAATTTAGGAGTCACAAGTCACACCTGTCCTGAAGTATGAAAACAGCAACCTAACAATTCCTGAGTTACCAGAAACATGCAGAGAAAGAAGGGGAAAATTCAGGTACATAAAGCTGTAGAATTAACAGATGTCACAGGCTTAGGAAAAACGCTTATCATCCTGAATAACTGGGTAGATGACAGGGTGGTTTGGGAACAATTTCAGAAGAACAAAGGAAAAATACATCTTTCAATAGCCCTTCCCCTCTCCTTTGGTAAGTTTCCAAATTATTCTACTGGGGAATGAGGTGTTTCTAAAAGAATACATTCCCGGCTTATCACCCAAGTCCAAGAGAAAATGAAATTACCCTCAACAAGCTAACTTTGCAGGCACACATTTGTTCTATGAAGCAAGAAAGAGGCATAATACTGAGTATTTTAAAAAATGTTTAAAACTCATTATTCCTTAGTGTAATTGGAAACATTAGAAAAATCAATAATGCTGAGTTTCTATAGCAACTGAATTACTTTTTACCAATATTTCTAATTTTCCCAGAATATTAATCCACTTCTCCCATAAGAAGGAAATACACTTAGAGAACAAAAGAAATTTTCTAGACAACTCTTAGAAGCTACTAATCACACTGAAAGTTTTCCGTTTGTTTTCTCCATAATTTACTCCAGCACTATCAATACTCTTGGTTGTAACAAGTTGTTTAGGTCAGTAAATGATCCAAACTAAGTTCTTCTATCTGTAATAAAAAAGATCATATCAAATAATTTTTCAAATGTGACCATGTGTACCAGTGGATTAAATTTCAGATCAACCCACAGAAGAGTGGAACAAGGGGTAATTACCTCAGTGACTCAAAGTGAGCAGAATTCTACCTACTCTTCTTGTGTATTTCCAAACTTGCCTGCTAAGGATCATGCAGCATCTGCCCCTAGAAATTCTAACTCAGTAGGTCTGGGTTGAGGACTGGTTGAGGCTCTATAAAAAACATTCCTGGTGATTATTAACTTCAGACAGGTTAGGGAAACATATTAAAGAATGAGTAAGAAGAGATTCTCTGCAAGAGGTATCAGTTTCTAAAATACCAAAGTCCTTAGACATTATTTAAAAACAACCAACCAAATGATTCTAAATGCCATGGCAATCTAGTCTATAAAATTGTACTAGTTGAGGGAAAAAGGTACATAGTTCAGATTTCACCTTCCTATTCTATAGCAACTGCTAAGGATGTATCAAGTGCCATGGAAGCCAACTCATTATTTTCACAAAGAAATAATGATAATAAATCAGTCTTATCAAATTTAGAATATGTGAACAGGTTAAAAAAAGATGCATAACCAGTACACCAAATTAACTGTAATCTTTCATGGTATATTGCTATAACAATGGCCCTCGATAAATCATGCCCTCTATTATGCCCATTTACATTTACAAAATGACTGTGCTGTTCTTATCAAGAGATGAGACTTTTCCCCGACTCCTTAAATCTAAACTGCCCTTGTAACTTGTTTTAACCAATAAAATTCAAAAGTGACATCATGTGACTTTAGAGCCTAAGCCTCAAGAGGCCTTGCAATCTCCACCTTTCCCTTTTGGAACACTCCAAGTTTGGAAGTTCAGCTAGAATGCTGAATGACCAGAGACCACAGGGAGAGACAGCGTCCCAGCCACCAAGGCCCCAGGCAGTGGGCGAGATCACGTCAGACTTTCCAGCCTCAGTCAAACAGCCTGGTGATCTGCATAAACAAAGACCAGCAGAAGAGCCACCCAGCTGTGCACAGTCAACCGAAACAATCATGAGAACTAATAAATTGTTTTATGGCTGTAAGTTTTGAGTGGTTTTGACAAAATATACAACTAAGATCAGAAATTATAAGCTCAAACAGGAAAGAATCACTTATTCAAACACAAAACAAGAAACTAGCATTTTGAGAGTTTTATTTTCTGGGAGTAGAAAGTATAAAATTTAACAGTGGAAAGAAAACCAAGCTGTAAAATCCTGAGAATTTCATTCAACATTTAATCCTTTTAAAGTCACTAACTCTCACAACTAATTTGAAATATAAGTACTTTAACTTTTTATTCACAAAACTAATTATGCTATAATAAATTTTGTTAGGGTTTTGTGTGTCAGAAGGTGTAAACCTCCCTTCCACAACTTTATTCTACTATTCAGCAGAGACCCTCTATTAAAAAAAAATCATTCAGTTGTAGTGGTCTTTCCCATCAAACATATAGGCTTATATGCTTGTAGTGAGTGTGGAAGTCTTTGATTTTAGGAAAATTACCGTCTAATCATATATTTCATATCCTTTGGCAACTAGGAAAGCTTAAAGTGCTTGAAAGACAAATTCTACAATGATGTTCAAAGGCAGGATTTATAACCTATTCAGGGACCAACAAAAATATATAAAAGAGTAAGATTTGCATTGTTACAATTTGTAGATTTGCATTGTTGAGGCTTATCTTAAACTTTGCATAGTTTGACCGATATTCACTATATCATAATTTGCATTGCTGCTGCATCAGAGGAAACTTAAAAATAATATCTCTACCTCTGTCAGAGTAAATTTAGAAAGCATGATTGTACTCATTTCTACACTTACCAAGTTTCCTTCAAGTCAACATTCCCTCCTATCTCAAATCACCAACCCACTCCCAGCACCCACCTTAATGACATATTTTGGTAAGTGCTTAATAACAAGTTTAGTCTCTAAAGATGAGCAGTGTTCATCAGTTGCATCATATCATGGAAAGCACTAAAAATCAGCTGAACTAGCTTTTCTGCATCAGTGTCTGGACATGATTTCCAGGCTGTACAGGCCACAACAAACCTGTGAAGCACAAATAATAAACGGTTAGGTAATATGTAAAATTCACAACATAAAAAGGCTCCAAATGGTGATGAATACAGCCCCTACCTTTATTTCATATGGCTGTTCATATATGAAATGTGAGTCCTTGCTGAATCAGGTAAATGTAACCTGACACAACTGAAGGTAAAGCCGTATTTATACATAATACTAAGAATACCTACTTTACTATGTGAGAAGAGACTAAGGACGAAAGGCAACAAAAAATTACTGAGAGCCAAGAATGCTCTGGAGGAAGGCCTTATACTCTGTTAGACAAACTGAGCCGCTGGCTTCCTGAAAAAGACTTTCCTAATGTCCCTTAAGTGGAATTAGCTGGAACATGAATTTGTGTCACTGTTTGCAATGAAAATTGAACTATTTTTAAAGAATAATACAGTATTTGATAGAGTAAAAAGAAAAATGAAGGGTAAGATGAGAGAAATGGAGCAGGGAGAGGAGAGAAAAGCTGTTTCTAGAAAAGCCAGAGAGAAACTCTCTTGGGACCATGCCATGCCTTCCACCTCCTTCTAGATCCTCCTGATGAACAAATCCCCCATCTGGCAGATGATAAAAGTGGCCCCAGGAAGCTGAAGAAAACAGGACAAACTTGGCTTTTGGTAGACTCAGAGCAGAAACAGGGCTACTAACTCTCTTGGCACTAGCCTTCCTCCCCTTTTCAGACACTCAATTTTTATAGCAAAACATGCATTAGCTCAAATTCCAATAAAAATATTGAACAATGTAAACCTTGCAGACAACCATACAATTTTTATATCATTAAAAAAGACAGGAAATCAAAACCTCAACGTGTACTTTAGATTAAGCAGAATGAAAAACATGCTCTGGCCCTATTTTTAGTGGTGAAACCAATGTTTGCATGGATTACATTTGTTGAAAGATAAACAGGAACTTACAGAGAGTCTTACTTTGTTTTCACCTAGTGATTCATGATTACTAGTCATTTTCTAATTTCCATTTAGCAATATCTAATTATTTCTTTGCAAAGATTAATGATTCCTATAAAAGTATTAACATATTTAAAGGTTCAGTTATCTTTCTAAATTATAGAAAGAACCTTTCCTATCTGCACAATTCACAAAGAATGTACAGATGCCAATGAAAAAGAGAAAATATTTTGCTTCATAAGAATTCAAGTTATTTTCATCTATCAAATTATTAATGAATAATTTATAATGCCTAAAGTTGGTAATTATGTGATTAAATATGGAAGGATATATAACAGTATACACTGTTTCATCATTTGTAATGATGAAAAACTGGAAATAGGGAAGTGGTTAAATTATGGGAATTTGTAAGACTAGACATTATTCAACAATTAAAAATATCTTGAAGCATATTTAATGGCAGTGGAAATAATGGCTTGAAAAAGAATGAAATTCACAAAAAAGATACTAAAATATTTATAATATAATCTACATTTGTAGAAATTCTACATATAATCTATATACATTATAGATTAAAAACAGTAAGTCTTGTGTCTTATAATGGAAATATAAATAATTTGTTCTTACATTTTTTCCATATTTAAAAAAATTTTTANAAAGAGAGATCAAGCAACATGGAGACGGCACTGCAAAATCTGTGGGATGCAGCCAAGGCCGTGCTAAGAGGAAAGTATATTGCAATACAGGCCTATCTCAGGAAAGCAGAACAATCCCATATGAGTAGTCTAAACTCACAATTAATGAAACTAGAAAAAGAAGAACAAATGAGGCCCAAAGTCAGTAGAAGGAGGGACATAATAAAGATTAGAGCACAAACAAATAAAATCGAGAAGAATAAAACAATGGAAAGAATCAATGAAAGCAGGAGCTGGTTCTTCGAGAAAATAAACAAAATAGATAAACCCCGAGCCAGACTTATCAAGAAAAAAAGAGAGTCTACACATATAAACAGAATCAGAAATGAGAAAGAAAAAATCCCTATGGATACCACAGAAATACAAAGAATTATTAGAGAATACTATGAAAAATTATATGCTAACAAACTGGATAACCTAGAAGAAGTGGAAAACTTTCTAGAAAAATACAACCTTCCAAGGCTGACCAAGGAAGAAATAGAAAATCTGAACAAACCAATTACCAGCAACAAAATTGAGCTGGTAATCAAAAAACTACCTAAGAACAAAATCCCTGGACAAGATGGCTTCACTGCTGAATTTTATCAAACATTTAGTGAAGACCTAATACCCATCCTCCTTAAAGTTTTCCAAAGAGTAGAAGAGGGAATACTTCCAAACTCATTCTATGAGGCCAGCATCACTCTAATACCAAAACCAGGCAAAGAAAGCACAAAAAAAGAAAATTACAGACCAATATCCTTTATGAACATAGATGCAAAAATACTCAACAAAATATTAGCAAACCGAATTCAAAATTACATCAAAAAGATCATCCATCATAATCAAGTGGGATTCATCCCAGGGATGCAAGGATGGTACAATATTCAAAAATTCATCAACATCACCCACCACATCAACAAAAAAAAGGACAAAAACCACATGATCATCTGCATAGATGCTGAAAAGCATTTGACAAAATTCAACATCCATTCATGATAAAAATTCTCAACAAAATGGGTAGAGAGGGCAAGGACCTCAACATAATAAAGGCCATATATGACAAACCCACAGTCAACATCATACTTAACAGTGAGAAGCTGAAAGCTTTTCCTTTAAGATCGGGAACAAGACAAGGATGCCCACTTTCCCCACTTCTATTCAACATACGACTGGAGGTCCTAGCCACAGCAATCAGACAACACAAAGAAATAAAAGGCATCCAGACTGGCAAGGAAGAAGTTAAACTGTCCCTGTTTTCAGATGACATGATATTGCACACAAAAAACCCTAAAGAATCCACTCCAATACTACGAGATCTAACATCTGAATTCAGCAAAGTTCCAGGATATAAAATTAATATACAGAAATCTGCAGCATTCCTATACACTAACAATGAAGTAGCAGAGAGAGAAATGAGGAAAACAATTCCATTCACAGTTGCATCAGAAAGAATAAAATACCTAGGAATAAACCTAACCAAGGAAGTGAAAGACCTATACCCTGAAAACTATAAGACACTCTTAAGAGAAATTAAAGAAGATACCAATAAATGGAAACACATTCCATGCTCATGGATAGGAAGAATTAATATTGTCAAAATGGGCATCCTGCGTAAAGCAATCTATAGATTCAATGCAATTCCTTTCAAAATACCAACAGCATTCTAAAATCATTCTAAAATTCATATGGAACCACAAAAGACCTCGAATAGCCAAAGCAATCCTGAGAAGGAAGAGTAAATCTGGAGGCATTACGCTCCCCAACTTAAAGCTCTACTACAAAGCCACAGTAATCAAGACAATTTGGTACTGGCACAAGAAGAGATCCACAGACCAATCGAACAGACTAGAGAGCTCTGATATAAACCCACATATATGGTAAATTAATATAGAATAAAGGAGCCATGGACATACAATGAGGAAATGACAGCCTCTTCAACAGCTGGTATTGGCAAAACTGGACAGCTACATGCCACATAATGAAATTGGATTATTGTTTAATCCCATAGATAAAAGTCAACTCGAAATGGATTAAATACTTGAATGTCAGTCATGAAATCATAAAACCCTTAGAAGACAACATAGGCAAACATGTTGAATATAAGCATGAGCAACTTCTTCTTGAACGCATCTCCTTGAGCAAGGGAAACAAAAGCAAAAATGAACAAATAGGACTACATCAAACTAAAAAGTTTCTGTATGGCAAAGGACACCATCAACAGAACAAAAAGGCATCCTACAATATGGGAGAATATATTTGTAAATGACATATTCAACAAGGGGTTAACACCCAAAATGTATAAAGAACTTACATGCCTCAACACCCAAAAGCAAATAACCTGATTAAAAAAATGGGCAGAGGATATGAAGAGACAGTTCTCCAAAGAAGAAATTCAGATGGCCAACAGACACATGAAAAGATGTTCCACATTACTAATCATCAGCAAAATGCAAATTAAAACCACAATGAGATAGCACCTCACACCAGTAAGGATGGCCAGCATTGAAAAGACTAAGAACAAGTGCTGGTGAGGATGCGGAGAAAGGGGAACCCTCCTACATTGCTGGGGGAATGTAAGCTAGTTCAACCATTGTGGAAAGTTCCTCAAAAAACTAAAAATAGAAATACCATTTGACTCAGTAATCCCACTCCTTGGAATTTACCCAAAGAATACAACTTCTCAGATTCAAAAAAACATATGCACCCCTATGTTTATAGCAGCACTTTTTACAATAGCCAAGATACGGAAGCAACCTAAGTGTCCGTCAGTAGATGAATGGATAAAGAAGATGTGGTACATATACACAATGGAATACTATTCAGCCATAAGAAAGAAACAAATCCTACCATTTGCAACAACATGGATGGAGGTGGAGGACATTATGCTCAGTGAAATAAGCCAGGCGGAGAAAGACAAATGCCAAATGATTTCCCTCATTCGTGGAGTATAACAATGAAGCAAAACTGAAGGAACAAAATAGCAGCAGATTCAGAGACTCCAAGAATGAACTAGTGGTTACCAAAGGGGAGGAGTATGGGAGGGTGGGTGGGGAAGGAGGGAGATGGGGATGGAGGGGTATCATGTTTAGTACACATGGTGTGGGGGACCCCGGGGAGAACAGTATAGCAGAGAAGGCACATAGTGGATCTGTGGCATCATGCTGCACTAATAGACAGTGACTGTATTCAGGTATGGGTGGGATCTTGATAATATGGGTAAATATAGTAACCACATTGTTTTTTCATGTGAAACCTTCATAAGAGTGTATATCAATAATACCTTAATAAATAAAAGACAAAGACATAAAAAAAACCATTTACTGAATGTAACATATTTATGAGGCATTGTTAAAGAGCTGGGGATACAACAACGAACAAATCAAAGACCCTGTTCTTTATCCTAGGAAGAGAGGATAGATCACATACAAATAACTGTACATATTGGATGGCTCTAAATACTATAAAGAAAATGCAGCAGGTGTACAGGGAGAAAGAGAAAGTGTTCTTTTATACAGAGAAGGCCTCTGGATGAGAACAAATATTGTCTGAGAAAGGGGAGTGATCCTTACATATGCTTCAAGGAAGAGAACACTAGGCAGAGGAGATCATAACTGTGAATGCCATGAGGCAGGAGCTTGCTCCATGTGTTCACAGTACAAGAAAGCCCGTGTGGCTGGAGTCGAGAGAAATAGCAGCAGAGTTGTAGGAAATAAGGTCAGAGAGGTAACTGAGTGGTAGACCACATAGGGTGTCACAGGACAACTTTGGATTTTACTGGGAGTGAAATGAGAAGCCTGTGAAGGATTCTGAGTAGAAGAATGACAGGACTTATGTTACATTATTAAAGCGGTCATCAGGACTGCTGTGTAGAGAATGGTCTCCAGGGAAGGAAAGAGAAAAAGCTCGGTACCTGTTTCAACAACCTAATGAGAAAAGACGGTGTCTCAGTTTGGTATAGCACTGGACAGTCAGCAGTGATCCGACTGCAGACGGCTGCTTCCTTGGCTATTCAGATGGTTAATTCCCTCTCATCCTGAACACCTGAGCTGCGCAGTCACTCCGCGGGGGCCTTCCCTGGTCACCTATATAAAGCAGTGCCCCATCCTCCCACTAGTTTGTCTCTATTCCCACATCAGCTTGCTTACTTCCTCCAAGCATTCATCACTATTTGAAGTTACTGTTTGCTTTAGTCTCTCTTTCCCAAGCAGAAAATAAAATCTGTAAGTGGGGGAATCTTGTCTGTCTTGTGTCCCTTGCACCTAAAACAACCCCTGGCACACTCTAAGTTCTCACTAAATACTTCCTGAATGAGTAAATCAGAGTTCTGCCCCAGGATCATTAAAAATACATTTTATAAAGTTAGAGAGCTGAGGTATTCCTGGCATGAACTCTTACAATTGCATGTGATACAGGATCCACTACTTGTCAGGAAGTATGTTAAAATGCTTACTTAGTCTCTGTGTGATATGATTTTAAACCTCTGACCCTTTATCATGAAAAACGATAATGAGATCCCTTTTTAACCTTTGTTTTTCAACCTTTAATTTTCATATTAGTGTATACAAACTGAATACTATGGAAATACAGAATCTAAGGACTCAGATGTCAATAAACATAAGACCACTGGTATAAGAGACTATGTACAAATCACACTCAAAATGGAGGCAGATGATAAAATTTTGAAAAATTAACACTGACTGCAAACTTTTTTAAAAAGCAGAAATACAGCTCTCTTTTGCGTTCCAGGTTTTAATATCTCACTGTTTCTTTAAATTAGACCTCATGCAACTGAAATGAAATGTATCTGAATTGGTAAAAAAAAAAAGTTCTTTTTTTGAATATAAATTAATTTAGTCTTTTATCTTGGCCTCATTAGTATGTTCTATGACTATTAACTGCCATGTACTTACAGGGAGTCAAATTTTATCTGAACTTAACCATAAAATATCTTGGGTAGAACAAACATGTTACTGTGTATGCTGATTTTTGAGGATGATGATGATATGATCAGGGAGTCAAACTTAAATGATGCTCTGCACAAAATGCCTAAAGGACTGATTTGATAAGAGTCCCAAAAGTGAGATAGAGAAACAAAATACACATTAAATGTCCAAGTGGAAAAAACAATTACCTATGGGTAGCAAGTGACAGACAGTGGCACAATCAGAATCAGTGTAAGAAAGACATTCAAACAACCGGTGAGAGCTTTCTTACTCTACAGCACAGTGAGAACAAATAGAGCAGCCTCACCTGTCATCTCGGATATGGTAGAAAAACCCATAGCCATTGTGCACCATGGGGACCACCGCACCCTGGATTCTTGAATAGCCAACCAGACTTGTGGAGAGAACAAAGTTTCCACCTCCTCCACTGTGTGGCATAAAGAAAGGATATTTTACTAGTCTTACAGAAGCTTATGTTGCTTCTGAAGAGCTTTTAACATTGAGGAAAAAGAAAATGATTGATAAAGTTATAGAACACTACATTATATTACCTTTTGGAGAAAAGTGGGTCTGTAAAGAGCTCGGGAACAGGGAGACCTTCCTCTTTTGCTATGAGTAAAAGACCTAAAAGATGACGGTCAAATCCTGCAATGAAACCCCAAATCTAAAGTTAGAAAATAACTGTTAATATGAAAGTTTTTTTTAAAGTCCAAAAAATACCACGGTAAGTACCTTTGCCAGTTGAACAATCTTTCATCATTTTATCATGTTTTGCAAAAGCTTGTAACATCTTTTGCTGCTGCTCAAGATGCTGTATTAAAAATCAAGAGACACTTCAGTAACAACTGCATTAGAAACCAAACAAATAAAAAAAAAACCCTGAGCTCAATGTAATTAAGATTTATGTAATTTGGGAAAAAAAGATTTCTAAGAAGAATTAAGACAGATGTTTCTATGTCTTCTCCTTACTTCTTACTGCCTCTTTCCCATTTGCCTTATATCTTGATTCTTTCTTTCCTGGAACAGGAAAATAGTAATTTGTGGGCATTGCTGAGGTGATATCAACAAGTGTAAAGACAGAAGCAACTGGAATTTCAAAACTAAGGCATAATTGTCCAGAAATGATGATGAAGCAGTTCTATGAAATTATAATAAATTCACATATACATAACGATGTCTACCAAAACTAAGGAAACAAATACACACACAGTACCAAAATAGTGGTGGGAAGGACTATCCTGTTGTCTAAATGCTTCAAAAAAAAAAGCTTCAAAAAAAACATAAAATTATTCTAATTCTAATATATGAACACACGATTTGTGATATCAAAAATATTTGACCCAATCAACAAAAGCCTCCTTTTAGCAGAATTTTGGGGAAGTCTGCACTTCACTGGTATTACTCTAAAGGTAGATCAAAAGTAGTAAAATATTCATGGTTTTAAAAATACTTTGCCTAGAAAGTGACACAAATGGGCTTCTTCTCAGGACTTCCCCATTTCTTATTCTTTCCAGGTATATACTTCACTGGTAAATGAACAAATGCTTTGAAAACTTAGAAAAAAATAGCTGAGAGTATTTTTCTGACCCAAGGGAACTGAGGTAAAGACAAGAGCCAAGGTTCCTTTAGAACATGTAAACAAATCCTGTAAATTTTTCTGTCCAAATACTTACGCTGTTACGAGGATCCTGCATGGACTGGCACCATCTGGTTGCCTCTACTGTACATGATCGCATAGTCTCTGTACGGCCATGATAAAAATATCTTGTCATAGCTGTTTCATAGCAGCAACCAGGGCTACAGGAAAAAATGAAGATAAGAGAATGTAGCATAAGAAAGAAAATGCTCTATTGTTACTACAACGAGAGTATACCCAATTAAGCTGACTGGTCAGAGATTAGGCTCTACAATACAGACTACAGTTGAGATTTTCAATAACAAAGAGACCATTCTCACTTTCAAAGAGCAAAAATTATTCTGGTTCACAGGGCCTGGTGATTGGTCATTACTAGTGATTGGTCTCTTCAAACTTTCTTTTTCCTGGTTTACTCTAGGGAACTTCCTAAATAATACTTTTACTTAATTCTGTAGTCAATCATGGTCTATATGAAGAAACTAAAGGCTAAGGACTCTATATTACAATCTATCATTGTATAACAAATTACCCTAAAACTTAGTGGTGCTTCAAAGGCTTGGCTGTATCAGGTTATATACACTGGAATCTGTGGTAGGTATCCTCTAAGAGGCTCCCCAGTGATCCCTGCCTCCTGCCAGTTATGCCCTGGAATAACTGCTCACACCGAGTATGGGAGGGACCTCATGACTTGCTTCCAATGAAAAGAGGAGAAAGTAATGGTGTCACTACCAAAATTAGATGATAAAAAGGCTTTGTCTTGCTCTCTTTGTTATGCTGAGGGAAGTCAGCTACCATCTGGAAGCTGCCTTTTATAAAGGCCCAGGAAGGAAGAAACTGAGGGAGGCTTCTGGACAACTTAGAAGGAACTGAACAACTGGCTGAGGAGGACATCCTCTTGGAGGAGTGCCTTTAAATGAGAACACACCCTGACGTCCTGATGACAACCTCACCTCAAGAGAGACATGAAGTTGGAGGCACCCCATTAAGCTGTATTTGGATACCTGACAAACAGAAAATGTGAGATTATATATGTTTTTTGTTTTGAGCCACTAAGTTTTGGGTAATTTGTTATACAATGATAGATTGTAATATAGAGTCCTTAGCTTTTAGTTTCTTCATATAGACCATGCTTGACTACAGAATTAAGTAAAAGTATAATTTAAGAAGTTCCCTAGAGTAAACCAGGAAAAAGTAGAAAGTTTGAAGGGACCAATCACTAGTAATGACATTGAAATGGGAATCAAAAATTCACAACAAACAAAATTCCAATACCAGATGGCTTCATGCATGAATTTTACCAAACATTTAAAGAAGAGTTAATAGCTTTCCCACTCAAACTTTTCCAAAAACATGAAGAGAAAGGAAAGCTTGCAAATTTATTTTACAAGGTTAGCATCACCCTGGTACTAAAACCAGACAAGGGCACTAAAGAAAAAGAAAATTACAGATCAATATTCCTGATGAACATACATTCAAAAATCCTCAGCAAAAGATTAGCAAATAGAATTCAAAAGTACAAAGGATCATTCATCATGACCAAGTGGTATTTATTCCAGGGATGCAAGGATAGTTCAATATCCATAAATTAATCAATGTGATACACCACATAAAAGGAAGGATAAAAACCATATAATCCTTACAATAGTTGCTGAAAAAGCAGCTGACAAAATCCAACATCCATTTATGATAAAAACTCTTAACAAAGTGAAAACAGAGGGAATGTACCTCAACATAATAAAGGCCGTATTATAACAACAGTTAATATCATACTCAATGGTGAAAAGCTAGAAGCTTTTCTTTTAAGATCAGGAACGAGACAAGATCAGGAACGAGACAAGGATGCCCACTCCCATCACTTTCAATCAATATAGTATTTGAAGTCCTAGCACAGCAATCAGACAAGAAAGAGATATAAAATGCATCCAAATTGGTTAGGAAGAAGTAAAACTGTAACTATTTGCAGATGACTTGATACTACATACAGAAGACCCTAAACAACTCCACCAAGGAACTATTAAAACTAATAAATGAATTCAGTAAAGTAACAGGATACAAAATCAATGTATAGAAATCTACTACATTTCTATACATCAATAATGTACTACCAGAAAAGAAAAACTGAGAAAACAATCCCATTTATAGTTGTATCAAAGAGAATAAAATACCTAGGAATAAATCTAACCAAGGAGGTAAAAGACCTGTACTCTGTAAACTATAAAATATTGTTGAAAGAAACTGAAGATGACACAAATAAATGGAAAGTTATTCCATGCTCATGGATAGGAAGAATTAGTATTATAAAATGGCCATATTGCCCAAAGCAATCTACAGATTCAGTGCAATCACTATCAAAATTCCAATGGCATTTTTCATTACATCAGAGCAAATAATTCTAAAATTTGTATGAAACCACAAAAAATTCTGAATAGCCACAGCAATTGTGAGAAAGAAGAAAGCTAGAGGCATCATGCTCCTCAATTTCAAACTGTACTACTAAGCTACAGTAATCAAAACAGTATGGTACTTACATAAAAACAGACACATATATCAATGGAACAGAACAGAGAGCCCAGAAATAAACCCACACCTATATGGTCAATTAATATATGACAAAGGAGGCAAGAATATACAGTGGAGAAAAGAGAGTCTCTTTAAAAAATGATGTTGGGAGAACTGGACAGCTATGTGCAAAAGAATGAAAGTGGATCACTCTCTTACACCATACACAAAAATAAATTCAAATGGATTAAAGACCTAAATATAAGAACTGAAACCATCAAACTCCTAAAAGAAACATATGCAGTGTTCACTGAAATGAATGGATAATAAAGATGTGGTATGTGTTTATGTATATGCATACATACACACACACACACACTTGAATATTATTCAGTCATAAAAAAGAATGAAATCTTGACATTTGGGACAACATGGTATTATGCTAAGTGAAATAAGTCAGTCAGAGAAAGAGAAATACCATATGATTTCACATATACATGGAACGTGAAAAATAAAACAAACAAGCAAAACATAAACAGACTCACAAACATAGAGAACTGACAGTTGGTTACCATGGGAGTGGGAACAGGTGGAGTAGATGAAGGGAATAAAGAGGTACAAACGTCAAATTATGAAGTAATTTAGTCACAGGGATGCAAGTATAGCATAAGGAAGACAGCTCATAATATTGTAATATCTTTGTATGGTGACCAATGTAACTACACTTACCATGGTGATCATTTAATAATGTTTATATCATGAATCACTAAGTTCATCTCAAACAAAAATAATATTGTATATAAACTATATTCCAATAAAAAACATGATTAAAAAAGATGCTGCTACCCTACAACCTCTAATGAAATAAAAGATCTTGGTAATGGTCATGAATGGCTACTAAAACTGTTAGGTAGAAAAATCAGAAAGGAAACTTTATAATGGATGTTGGCTAACAAATGAACCCACTCTCAAGCTGAACAGGATGAAATGGAAAACAAGGAACATTAACTATTTGACTTACCAGTGTAAAAAATAATAAAAATTACTGATTCTTATTCTCAAGTCTCTAGATCTAACTCCCAGTTTAATAGGAGATGTGGAAGACAGAGCAACATGTTTAAATGGTATTTTTCTTTGAATTAAAAGACTAATGCACAAAAAGTAACAAATTTATGTTAATAGGCACACAATGTATAAAGATGTAATCTGTGATAGTAACAAAATAAAGAAGGTGGTACAGAGATATTTAGAAGCAATACCTGTATATTGAGACTAGGTTGGTATTGTTCAAAATAGGTTGTTATAAATTTAAGATGTTAATTGTAAAAAAAAAAAAAAAGGCTAAAAAATGTAGAGAAAAATAAAGAAGGGAGTCAAAGTATCCTACAAAATTTCAACTAAATACAAAAAAGACAGTAGCAGAGGAGTTGAAGAACAAAAGCCATATAAGACCTACAGAAAACATAGCTAAATGGCAGAAGTAAATACCTCTTATCAGTAATTGTTTCAAATGTAAAGAGACTAAACTTTCCAATCAAAGGCAGACATTGGCAGAATGGGATAAAAAACAGTCTATCTGCTGTCTACAAGAAATTCACTTTAGATACAAAAATATTAAGTAAAAAATAAAAGGATGAGAAAAGATATTAACCAGAAGTTAATAGTAACCAAGAGTTGAAGTGACCATATTATAAAAATCATTTTAAATAAAAAAGGTTAAAAGAGGAAAACAGAATATTATATACTGATAAAAGGTTTAATTAATTCATTACGAAGATATATAACAATTATAAAAATATATGCACTGTGACATAATGAGTCATAAGAAATACATATTTGGTCATTCATATGACCAAATATATATTTCCCAGGTATATTTGGTCTTCATCCACAGTTTCTGAAAACACTGCAGAGTCTTAAAAGGTGAAATAGGTGTTTTGTCACGTTAATGAATGACTTTTGGATGTCTACCCAAGGGCAGAAGACAGAGGCTGAAATCAGCCAATGGCTAATAATTTAGTCAATTGTGACTATGCAATGAAGCCCTCACAAGAACCCCTGAGAAGGGCTTATTGCTCCCTGCTGTTGGATCCTGCTCCTCAGTCAGAGAGAGCTTCTGTGCTTGGAGAACCGGACCACCTCCACATGCCACCCAGCCAGGCCCCAAGCTCCACAGGGATAGAAGCTCCTTCATTGGGACCCTGCCCTATGTCTCTCTTCATTTGGCTGTTAACTTGTATTCTTTACAGTATCCTTTATTAAACTGGTAAATGTAAATGTTTTCCTGAGTTCTGTGAGCCATTCTAGCAAGTTAATCAAACCTAAGGGTGAGGTTGTGGGAACCTCCAATCTGTAGACGGTAGGTCAGAAGCACAGGGAACGGCCTGGGGCTTGCGACTAGCGTCAGCAGCGGGGATTGCAGGGCAGTCTTGCAGGATGGAGCCCTTAACCTGGGGAATCTGGTGCTGTCTCCAGGCAGGGAGCATAAGAATTGAGCTCTCCAACAACCAGCTGGTGTTCGAGAAACCCCCTCCTACATACTTACACATTGGATTTGGGTCTGGGAACCTGAATGAAGCTATACTACTATTACTTCTGTGTATAATATTGTTACTGTTACATATATATATGTAGGAAAAGAACACCCCCGTGTATGCACTAAACCACACAGCTCTAAAATATATAAAGCAAATATTGACAGAATTGAAGAAAAAATTAAAACATAAAAGAATGTAAATTCTTCTCAAGTGTACATACAACATTCTCCAGGATAGACCACATATATGCCATAAAACAAATACCAATAAATTTTAAAAGATTGAAATCATACAAAATATCTTCTTCACTGACAACAGAATGAAGCTAGAAATCAGTAACAGAAGAAAACTGAAAAATTCATAATGTAGCTGACTGTTGAAAAACATGGGTTTGAACTGTGCAGGTCCACTTACACATGTATTTTTTTCAATATATATATTAGACAAGTTTTTAGAGATTTGTGTTGTGACAATCTGAAAAAATGATTTCTTTTCTCTAGTGTACTTTACTGTGGGAATACAGTATATAATACATATAGCAGAAATGTGTTAATTGTTGATGTTATCAGTCAGGTTCTAATCTTAGTAGGCTACTAGTAGTTAAGTTTTTGGAGAGTCAGAAGTTATATGTGGGTTTTGCCTGCACAAAGGGTTGGGGCACCAACCAACACCAACCAACACCTACGTTATAGAAGAAGAATCTCAAATCAATAAACTAACACACACCTTAAGGAACTAAAGAAAAAAACAACAAACTAGACTCAAAACTATCCAAGGAAGAAAATAATTAAGATTAGAGGTAAACAAAATACAAAAATTAAAAACAGAGTTAACCAAACTAAAACGTTTGAAACGATCAACAAAACTGACAAACCTTTAGCTACACGAACTAAGAAAAAAAGGGAGAAGACTCAAATTTACTAAAATTAACTATTAAAGATAGGACATTACAGCCAACTTTATAGAAATAAAAAGGATTGTAAAAGAATATCGTAAGAAACCTTATGTAAGATGGATAAGCTAGATGAAATGTATGCATTCTGAGACACATACAAACTACTAAATCTGACTCAAGAAAAAAAATCTGACTGAACCTATAACAAGAAATCAATCAATAATCAAAAACCTTCCAACAAACAAAAGTCCTCAGATAATTTTATTGACAAATTCTAACACTTAAAGAATTAAGACAAATCCTTCTCAAACTCTTCCAAAAAACTGAAGAGGAGGGAATACTTCCTAACTCATAACAAAACTAGCACTACACTGATACCAAAACCAGACAAAGACACTGTAAGACACTACAGACCAACATCCTTTATGAACACAGATGCAAAAATCCTCATATACTAGCAAATTGAATTTAGCAGCATATTAAACGGATGATACACTATGACCAGTGGGACTTATCCCAGGAATGCAAAGGTGATTCAACACAGGAAAATCAATGTAATATATCATATTAATAGAATGAAGGGAAAGTCCTACATGCGAATCTCAGTTGATACAGAAAAAGCATTTAACAAAATCAATTGCTCTTCCATTTACACTCAGTAAACTAGGAATAGAAGGGAACTTCCTCAAAATGATAAAGGGCACTTACAAAAACACACAGCTAACATCATACCCAATGGTGAAGGACTTAAAACTTTCTACTTCAGATGAGCAGGAAGATAAGGAAGCCTGCTTTTGCCAATTCTATATAACATAATATTGGTTGTTCCAGCCAAAGGAAAATAAGTAAAAGTCATCCAAACTGGAAAGGAAAAAGGAAACTTATCTCTATTCACAGATGACCTAATGTTATATTTAGAAAACCCAAAAGAATTCACAAAAAACTGTTAGAACTCATTCAGCAGTTTCAAGATACAAAATTATACAGAAAAATCAGTTGCATTTCTATAATTCAATGTAATCTGTATCAAAATCCCAATAGTGTTTCTGCAAACCTATCTTAAAATTCATATGGAATTTCAAGGGACCCAGAATAGCCAAAACAATCTTGAAAAGGAGAACAAAGGTGAAGGACTCAAATGCTTGCAGATTATTTTTTTATTGAAGTGTCATTGATATACAATCTTATGATGGTGTCACATAAACACTGTTTTCAACATTCACCCATATTGTCAAGTCCTCACCCCCTCTACTGTGGTTACTGTCTATCAGGCACGCTTGCAGATTTTTAAACTTACTACTACTACAAAGCTACAATAATTAAAATAATATGGTACTAACACAAGAAGAGACATATAAACCAATGGGATAGAACTGACACCCCCAAAATAAACCCTCACATCTATAGTCAACTTATTTTGGACAAGAATGTCAAGACCATCCTATGGGGAAAGAATGGTTCTCTTCAACAAATATGCTGAGAAAAACTAGTTACCCACATGCAAAAGAATGATGTTGGACCGTTACCATACACCATACAGAAATATTAACTCAGAACATATCAAACACCTAAAGTAAGAGCTAAAACTATACAACTCCCAGAAGAAAATACAGGGGAAAACCTTCATGACACTGTATTTAGCAATGACTTTTTGGATATGACACCAATAACAAAGGCAATGAATTAAAAAAACTGTACTTCAAAATTAAAAACCATGCATCAAAGGATGCTATCAAGAGAGCGAAAAACCCACAGAATGGGAGAAAATATTTGCAAATCACATATCTGATATTCAGAATATATAAAGAATTCAGACAAAATGAAACCCAATTACCAAATGCACAAAGGACTTGAACAGACATTTTGCCAAAGAAGATAAACAAATGGCGGATAGACACATGAAAAGATATATAACTTCCTTTGCCATTAGGGAAATGTAAATAAAAAACAAAATGAGATACCACCTCACAGCTACCAACTACTGTGGGTAGGTATAATTTTTTTTAAATGGAGAAAATAAGTATTGGCAAATTCAAAGAGAAAGACAATAGAATAGAGGCTACCAGAGGCTGGGGCAGGAGGAGGAAATGGATTAATAATGGGTTTTGCTTAATGGATAGAGTTTCTGTTTGTGGTGATGAAAAAATTCTGGAAACAGACAGTGATGATTGTTGTGCAATACTGTTAAAAGTAATTAATGCCACTGGACTGTACACTTAAAAACTGTTAAAATGTCAGGCTTTATTTTGCATATATTTTACCACAATAAGAAAAGATAGTCAACTGCTTACGGCAGAATGGTAGCAGTATATTTTGAAACTGGTAACGTAAGTAGAAGTATAATTCATGACAACAAGAACACAAAGAAGAGAAGCAAAAGAAAAGTATTGTTTTAAGGTTCTTATACTTGAAGTAGGAAATATTATTTGAAGCTAGACTGCAGTAAGTTAAAGATGTACTTTGTAAACCACAGTGCAACTACTTAAAAAAAATAACAGCTGACAATGGAGATAAGTGGAGAATTTTAAAAAAACACTAAATTAAAAAAAATAAGGAACAAAATCAAATGAGATAAAAAAATGAACAGCAAGATGGTAGATTTAAGCACAAACTTATTGATAATTATATTTATTGAAAGTGATCTAAATATCCCATTTAAAGACAGATATTCTCTGAATACAAAACAAACAACATCAGAAAGCTTCCACTACTACTTAAGAAGGAAGTCACAACATACCATCTCTCCTATCCTAAAAAGGAGTAAAAAAAAAAAACAGATTATCTACAAAATCTTATCTTTCCATGAAACCATCAGGAAACTGAGGCTACAAGAAAACCATGTGACCTAAACTCCCACAATTGACAAAACCCTTTTTAGAAGAGAACAGACACTTCAAAAGTACCAAGGTCATTGAAAACAAATAAAGACTGTGAAAGTGCTACAGCTCAAAACAAATACACTGTTGATAAAAGTACAAATTAGGACACGGTGCTAACTGGGAAAGTCAGAAAAAAACAATGGGGAGTTAGGACAAAGTACCTGTGGTAAAGATAGACCCCTTGGACCTCAAGAGTCTGATAATGAAAAATGAATGGTCCTCACCGTCCGTGAAGTCTGTAATAGGCCAGCTGAAGTGCAAGCTGAATAAAGGTATCAGGGTGAAGCATCAACTTCTTGGTTAGCTTTTTGCCAAAAGATGTAAAGGCATATGCTACAATTTGCAGATCAGATGCCTAATAAAAAGAATGAAATGCAAACAACGAAAAATCATGTCAGGTGAATACTCCCAAGATAACCAAATTATCATACTCATTAAAGCAATCATTATATATACTTAAAAGTATTAAAGCTATAACTTAAAAACATTTTATGTTGTCATGCTTAGATGATAGCCCAATTTTTATATTTGGTAGTTTAAAGAGAAAGTATTACTAAGGGAAAAGTAAAAAATCTACCTGCTTGAGATACTGTGCTTTAGCTTGGCTGATGTCATTCAATATTTTCTCATCCACAGTGAAAACAAGCTCCTCTGGAAGTGGTATATCCCGTACTTTTTCTGAACCCTGAAAGTAGGAAATACTTCAAAATACCATATCAATAAATATATGAGGAGAAAAATGATGAAATATTTGTTCTAACATACCTTCCATCTTCCTTCATTCTCAAAAACCTTCTCATCAACATAATAGCTGACATTCACCATAACCATTGCATCATAAGGAGCATGCTACAAGGAAAAAACGCATTTTTTGAATACTTTATGTGAACCTAAAAATATGACCCAATACATTATTTTCACTTTCCCTGCATTCTTAACACATAATAAGGAATTTTCAAATGCCTACATGATGACAAAGATTTGAATATCCTACAGTATAGTAAGTAGCTGCTCTATTTTATTTTCTGAGAAAGCACAAATATTCAAAGTTTGGAAGCACTTAATTAGGGATTTTGAGGTAATGGAGAGTGGTGTAAACATGAACAATCTAGAGAAAATAACTGCTATTCGTACAGAAATAAAAGCAGGTCTACATAGGCAATGCTAACATGCTCTGAACTTGTAAAGGCAACGTGGAAAAGGCAGATGGGGATGGCAGACTATCGGAAGGCTAAACTGAGGATGGGTATGAATTCCCTTAGGAGAAAACATAGGCCACTAGGCATTAGAAAACACAACATTTTGTATTTATGTCCACAAGAGTGTTCAGAAGTGGTAGAAATAATTCTCAGTGTTTAAGGAATGTGGGAAAGCTGTGCTGACTTAAGGGGTATTACAGGTTTGACAGCAATATTTAGAGAAAGGAATTGCAACTAGTGAACTTTTCCATCATTTATCGTGGAGGACAAATGTTTTGCCTTATTTTCTCCATGTTCCTTTGATGACAAATTACATCGGATGTTTTTTCCTCTGTGATACTGCTACCACTTTATGTTGAACATAGTTACCATAATTTATGAACTCAGTGTAACACTGTTAGCCTTGGAGAGAAAGAAGGGAGGCTTTATGATGTGGACCTGCCACTTGGGCCCAGTTTCTGAGGGAGTAACTAAGTGTTGTAAGTATCCCCATAACATCACACAGCTCTGGCTGCCCTGTATGACGGCCCTGGGGAACCTGGAAGCACAGTATATGCACTGTTACCAAGTAGCAGCCACAACATCAGGTAAGGAGGCTCTTGGAGGCGGGGGTGGTCAGTACAAGATGCATGAGCAACGCCATCCCACTTGTCAGCAACAGCTTGCACAGTAAAACTCACAAGTCAATGACAAACCCCTTTTCTAACAGCATCTCAAAACTGTGCAGTGCATTATGGCTTTACAAAGAATTTTCACAGATGACACATACACTGTTTCACATAAAACAACAGTATTAATTTCTCACTTTTTTAAATTAAGGTATCATTTATATATAATCTTACGAAGAAGGTTTCACATGAGCAACATTCTGGTTACAACATTCACCCACATTATCAAGTCCCCTCACCCCAACACCCCATTGCAGTCATTGGCCATCAGCATACTAAGATGCTATAGAGTCACTACTTGTCCTCTCCATGCTTTATGGGCCTTCCCCGTGACCTACTTATACTGTGATTGCTGATTTTAAAGTGCCCTTTAACCCCTTCTCCCTCCCTCCCTCCCTCCCTCCCCACCCACCCTCCCCAACCTCTTACCTTTGGTAACTGCTAGTGCCTTCTTGGAGTCTGTGAGTTTCCTGCTGTTTTTTACCTTCAGTTTTGCTTTGTTGTTATACTCCACAAATGAGTGAAATCATTTGGTACTTGTTTTTCTCTGCCTGAATTATTTCACTCAGAATAATACCTTCTATCTCTACCCATGATGTTACAAATGATAGAATTTGTTTTCATTTTTTGGCTGAAGAATATTCCATTGTGAATATGTACCACTTCTTCTTTATCCATTCATCTACTGATGGACACTTAGGTTGCTTCTACATTTTAGCTATTGTAAATAATACTGCAATAAACACAGGGATGCATATGTTTTTTTTTGAATCAGGGATCTTGTTTTCTTCAGGTAAATTCCTAGGAGTAGAATTGCTCAGTCAAATGGTATTTATTTCCATTTTTAGTTTTTTAAGGAACGTCCATATTGATTTCCACAATGGTTGAACTAATTTACATTCACACCAGCAGTGTAGGAGAGTTCCCCTTTCTCCACCTCCTCATTAGCATTTGTTGTTCCTAGTCTTTTGGATGTTGGCCATCAACCTGTGTGAAGTGGTAACTCATTGTGATTTTAATTTACATTTCCCTGATAATTAGAGATGTGGAGCATCTTTTCATGTGTCTGTTGGCCATGTGAATTTCTTCTTTGGAGAAGTGTCTGTTCACACCCTCCACCCATTTTTTAATCAGGTTATTTGCTTTTTGGGTGTTAAGGCATGCGAACTCTTTATATACTTTGGATGTTAACACCTTATCAGATATGTGATTTATGAATATATTCTTCCATACTGTAGGATGCCTTTTTGTTCTGCTGATGGTATCCTTTTCTGTACAGAAGCTATTTAGTTTGATGTAGTCCCATTTTCTCATTTTTGCTAATTCCCTTGCCTGAGGAAATGTGTTCAGGAAAAACTTTCTCATGTTTATATTAAAGAGATTTTGCTGGTTTTCTTCCAATAGTTTTATGGTTTCATGACTTGCGTTCAGGTCTTTTCATCCATTTCAAGTTTACTTTTGTGTATGGAGTTAGCCAATAAGCCAATTTTATTCTCTTGCATGTAGCTGTCCAGTTCTGCCAACAACAGTTGTTGAAGAGGCTGTCATTGCCTCATTGTATATCCATGGCTCCTTTATCGTACATTAATTGGCCATATATGTGTGAGTTTATATCTAGGCTCTCTATTCTGTTTCTCTAATCTATGGTTCTGTTCTTGTGCCAGTACCAAATTCTTTTGATTACTGTGGCTTTGTAGTAGAGCTTGAAGTTGGGGAGCATAATCCTCCCAGCTTTATTCTTCATTCTCAGGATGTCTTTGCTATTCAGGATCTTCTGTGGATCCGTACGAATTTTAGAACTGTTTGTTCTAGTTCACTGAAGAATGCTGTTGGTATTTTCATAGGCATTGCATTGAATCTGTAGATTGCTTTAGGCAATTTTGACATTGGCAAATTAGGCAGTGGGCAGTAGCCATTTTGACAATATTAATTCTTCCTACTCATGAGCACAGGATGTATTTCCATTTATTGTTGTCTTTTAATTTCTCTCATGAATGTCTTGTAGTTTTCAGAGTATAGGTCTTTTACTAATTTATGTTAATTTTGAGAAATTTTATTCTTTTTGATGTAATTGTAAATGGAATTATTTTCTGATATCTCTTTCTGCTAGTTCATCATTAGTATATTGGAATGCCACACATTTCTGCATATTAATTTTGTACCCTGCAACTTTGCTGAATTCAGTTATTAGTTCTAGTAGTTTTAGAATGGATTCTTTATGGAGTTTTTTATGTACAATATCATGTCATGTGCAAACAGGGACATTTTAGTTCTTCCTTATCAATCTAGATGGCTTTTATTTCTTTGTGTTGTCTGATTGTCATGGCTAGGAACTCCAGTACTATGTTGAATAAAAGTGGGGAAAGTGGGCATCCTTGTCTTGTTCCCGATCTTAGAGGAAAAGCTTTAAGCTTTTCACTGTTAAGTATGATGTTGGCTGTGGGTTTGTCTTATATAGCCTTTATTATGTTGAGCTACTAGCCCTCCATACCCATTTTGTTGAGAGTTTTTATCATGAATGGATGTTGAATTCTGTCGAATGCTTTTTCAGCATCTATGGAGATGATCATGTGGTTTTTGTCCTTCTTTTTGTTGATGTGGTGGATGATGTTGATGGATTTTTGAATATTGTATCATCCTTGCATCCCTGGAATAAATCCTACTCAATCATGATGGACGATCTTTTTGATGTATTTTTAAATTTGTTTTGCTAGTATTTGTTGAGTATTTTTGCATCTATGTTCATCAAGGATATTGATCTGTAATTCTCTTTTTTTGTGGTGTCTTTGTTTTGGTATTAGAGTGATGCTGGCCTCATAGAATGAGTTTGAAGGTATTCCCTCTTCTACTTTTTTGGAAAACTTTAAGGAGGATAGTTATTAGGTCTTCTGGTCTAGGGGTTCTGTTCTGAGGTAATTTTCTGATTACCAATTCAATGTCATTGCTGATAATTGGTCTATTCAGATTTTTTGTTCCTTCCTGGATCAGCCTTGGAAGGTTGTATTTTTCTAGAAAGTTGTCCATTTCTTCTAGGTTATTCAATTAGTTAGTATATAATTTTTCATAATATTCTCTAAAAATACTTTGTATATCTTTGATGTCCATAGTGATTTTTCCTTTCTCATTTCTGATTCTGTTAATGTGTGTAGACTCTCTTTTTTTCTTGACAAGTCTGGCTAGGGGTTTATCTATTTTTTTTTCTCAAAGAACCAGTTCCTGGTTTTATTGATTCTTCCTATTGTTTTATTCTTCTCAATTTTATTTATGTCTGTTCTGATCTTTATTATGTCCCTCATTCTACTGACATGGGTCTCCTTTATTCTTCTTTTTCCATTAATTGTGAGTTTAGACTGTTCATTTGGCATTGTTCTTCTTTCTCGAGATAAGCCTGTATTACAATATTCTTCCCTCTTAGAACTGCCTTCACTGCATCTCACAGGTTTTGGGGTGTTGAGTTGTTGTTTTCATTTGTTTCCATATATTGCTTGATCTATTTGGTCATTGATTCATTGATTATTTTGGAGTATGTTAAGCCTCTATGTGTTTGTGGGCATTTTTGTTTTCTTTACATTTTTTATTTCTAGTTTCATACCTTTGTGGTCTGAGAAGCTGGTTGGCACAATTTCAGTACTTCTGAATTTACTGAGGCTGTTTTTGTGGTCTTCTATATGATCTATTATGGAAAGTGTTCCAGGTACACTTGAGAAGAATGTGTATCCTGCTGCTTTTGGGTGGAGTGTCCTACAGATATGTGTTAGGTCCATCCGTTCTAATGTGTTTTCAAGTGCCTCTGTCTCCTTACTTATTTCCTTTCTGGTTGATCTATCCTTTGGAGTGAGAGGTATGTTGAAGTCTCCTAAAATGAATGCATTGCATTCTATTTCCCCCTTTAATTCTGTTAGTATTTATTTCACATATGTAGGTGCTCCTCTGTTGGGTGCATATTATAATGGTTATATCCTCTCATTGGACTGATCCCTTT